TCCATATCAAATTATTTTTTAAATTATGGCATAGTGATTACGAGCCCAAATAAGACTTGATCATTCATTCATCCAAACATATTTTGGGGGTACCTACTACATGCCCTGCTGGGGATATAGCAGAAAACCAAGAAGCTCTCATGAAACTTGCGTTCTCTTGGGAGTTGACTGACTATAAACAAATACAAATTGTTTCAGTCATGATAAGGGCTTTGAAGAAAATAAAGCAGGCTAAGGGAGGAGAGAATGCCAGTTACAGAGACTTGTCTTTTCCTATTTTCAGGGCTTGCATGCTGAAGAAGAAGGCATTCTGGGGAGGTGTCAAAACAGTTCTTTCTTATCTTTGTCATCCAGGAGACACTGTGACTAGAAAAATTCTCATACCCTACCTCCTCCACTACCCCAACTTAACACATACGCTCACAAAGAGGTCTTTGCTTTGGCTGGTGTTCCAACTTGCTGATCAATGACTTCTTTCAAGATAACTCTGGTGGTGTTGCAAGTACATTTAAGGTGACATGTGAGATTTGCAGACACTGCACATTCCCTGAAGTTCAGAGAAGTGCTGACATGCTGTAGGAAGAAAACAAATTGCATAAGCTTCCTAGCTGAGGCAGGAAAGTTTTTGCTTGTGTATGTTTTTTATTTTTCTTGTTTGGTTTATTTGGGACTGTATACTGACGTTAAGATGAGGGCATGTTCTGGATTGTTCTTAAATCTCTATTTTCACACCCACCCTCCCGTGCTCATGCGGAAATGATTTTCTTCATCTGCAGAATGGGAATGAGTGATTGTTTATCTCAAAGATGAACACCAAAGCTAAAGGCTGAGCACTTTGGAAACTGTAGTGTAAAGAGTTTATAGTCGGTGGAAGTAAAACCTACATTGACCTACGAGCTGGGTTGGTGACACAGAGCATGGCTTTCACCAAAAACACCATGTTGGTATCAACTGAGAGGCTTTCAAATATATTGACAAGAAGTATTTTATCAATGCTGTCAGCATCCTTTTTTGCTTGATTGGATCAAAGTGATAGGAATTAGAGGGTAAAGATGTTGGAAAGTGATCCATCCCTGCTGTTTCACAGGGTATTGCCCTGGGAGTCCTGTGTAGGGTGTGATGCTACCAGTGTGTCCACTATGAAAATGTCGAAGAGCTAAGATTCTTATGGCAGAATATGTGTAATCATGAATTCACTGACAACTTGCAATCAGGGAAATACATTGCTCTTCTACTTCCCCAGGTAGCTGTTAGACAGTTGAAGATGCATTAATTTTTTAGGACTTTTAGTATTTAGTCATTCATGTACTAAAGCATGAATCATCAATAAATATTTATATATTTCAAGACACCTTTATTATGCTAAGGAGAAGTTTGGACACAGGGAAGCTTAGGTCTCTTGAAACTTAATGCTTAACACATATTCATTTAAGATGAATGTCAATATCAATATCAATGTGTAGATTGAATGAGAGACTTAGAGTGAAAGAAAAAAATCCATAGAAGATTTCATAGGGAGACTGAATCTGAGTCTCAAGTTTTAATTTAGACACACTCTCCATCATTTGGTTTAAGTTTAAATAGAGTTTGAAAACACAGAAAGGAATGTGAAAGGATGTGGGCCAAACCCAATGGATCAGGAGACCTAGGGAATGTAGCATTTTTAAGTATTTTAGAATTTGTCCACCTATTGTATGAAGAAGGTATTAATGCTCGTGTACGTGTGTGTATGTGTGTGTGTGATAGCTGTAAGTGTGTGCATGAAATTAGATGGATGATTCGTTTAAGAAATTATTTTATCAATTTTTATCGTGCATTTACTGTGTGTCAGATGCTTTTTAGGAAGTTGGGGATATGACAATGACCAAAACAAAAATCCTTGCTTTTCGTTTATGTAAGCTCAATGGGTGACAAATACACAAGGAATTATATGGTCTAATACCATAATGAATCTGTCTTAGGGGAGAGGGAGTGCTTGGAGGTACTATTTTAAAAGGTGACAGGGAAGGAGATGTTATTTGAGCAGAGACCTGAATGACATGAGAGAGTGAGCCATGCAGACCTTTTGGCGAAGAGTGTTCCAGGAGAGGCTGCAGTGAGTGAAAAGCCCTGAAGTGGGTGCTTGCTGTGCATGAGTCCAGTCTGTCTCCACCCCGATGGCCTTTGACACAACGTTTAAACTCTTTGAGCCTTTGCTTCCTCAACTGTAGAGAGGAGATATTTGACCTTCCCCTTGCTGGGTTGGGGTTGAGTTTAGCAATTTTTTTTTTTTTTTTGTAAGGAAGATCAGCCCTGAGCTAACATCTTTGCTAATCCTCCTCTTTTTGCTGAGGAAGACCAGCTCTGAGCTAACATCTATTGCCAATCCTCCTTCTTTTTTCCCCCCAAAGCCCCAGTAGATAGTTGTATGTCATAGTTGCACATCCTTCTAGTTGCTGCGTGTGGCACATGGCCTCAGCATGGCTGGAGAAGCGGTGTGTCAGTGCGCGCCCGGGATCTGAACCCGGGCCACCAGTAGTGCAGCGCGCACTTAACCACTAAGCCATGGGGCCGGCCATGTTTTAGCAATTTTTGAGGGTTGACAGGCCAGGCCAAAATGAATAACACGTGGAAGGCAGGTAATGATACACACAGCTGCTTCAGAGCAAGAGAGAAGTCTTTAAAGTTTGCCTAGAGCTAGATAATGGGTATGGGTGCCAATTTTAAGTTTTAAAATGTTCTTAAATTAATTAATGGAAGACATCACGGATTGGTCTTCCTTTGACCCCTTATACCTAATTAATGTCTAGTTGTTCCACTGTGAGGGTCCTTCCGCTGTGAGGGTCATGAATCCTGGTTTTCTTTGTAGTTCTGTAGCTGGGCTATGGATCTGACCACCAGGTTAATGTCTCAGAAAGAGTTACGCTGCTGGATTCTTCAAACTTCTTACAGCTCATCCGCACACCATCTCACCCTGTTTACTAGTCTTCCTTAAGACCCTGAGCTTCAGGGGTTGGTTTGAAGGAAACTTCCTGGTTCCTTTTTTGGACTTATCTCCCTCCCCTCCAGCCCTTGCCTTGAATTGGTCATCAAACTTTGATGCAGAAGTGTCATCTGAGGAGACCATTAAAGTGACAGATCCCAGGGCCCCGCCTCCTGGGCTTCTGATTCCATCCATCATGGTGGCACGGAGGGAATCTGCACCTTAAACGGCTCTAGGCTGAGAAACACTGTGTGAAACATCATCTTTAAAATGAAGTGATAGGATTTCTCTCTAGTCCTTTCCATCTCTGACCTTCTGGAAATCCAAGCTCTTTCAAATGTCCTTTTATAGTGAACTCCATTCTGGCATTACAGATAACCAAGTTCACCCTTCTCTGCAGTTGTCTTTACCATCTTCATCTGGGTCAGTCTTTTCCACCTTCTCACCACTTTATTCCACTCCAGTTTTCTTCTATTCACCTCCCTCTTCTCTTTATGGATTATACAGGAGTGAATTAAGGGATTCTAAGAATGTATTATGCGTAGCCGTATAAGGAGCACTTTTCATAATTTTATCTCCCTATACCTAGCTTTGGGTGAAATCAGTAGAGAGCTAAAGTTCTCTCCTACTTTTTGAGTCTACAGATAGTCATCATGGGAACACGGATCATACAGCTCACAACGATGCTCGTGTACCACACATTCTTTGTTCTATGGTGCTGGGGCTGCTCATCACCATACCTTATGCCTTTCCATCTTTTAAATTGGGATGAGTCACTGACTTTTATTTCTCCTTTGTATATGCAGAAAATGAAAAGATTCTGCTTTTGTTTATCCCAAAGACTTGTTGGTGATTGGGTTGGGTATGTAACCTGGGACTCTTGAGCTGGGGGTCAGTACATTCTCCTGGAAAATCTCCGGCTCTTCTGGCAACACATCTCTCCATTCTCTCCCAGAGATCTTGAGGGCACTATTCTCTGTGTAGGTGTTGTTATTGGTATTATAAACATGCCTTCCCTTCTTAATGATCTTCTCCCATCTGCCTCTAACACCTCACGGGAGGCAGTTATTTTATAGGAACTCGGGCTTCACATTTGGTTGGAATCTGGGTGGGAAGAAGAACTGTGTGGAGAGAGGCATACACATGTTGTATGTAATACCTTGAGGGATTCACCTTCCCTCTTCTGATTCCATTATATCTATCATAATTACAGTCCCATAACTGCACAAGACATTTAGACGTGATCTCGGCCTCTTGCATGAGCTGAATACTGTTTTATGTGATTATTACGTGCTTGTTTTGCAAAACACATGACTTCAGTGTGACCATAAATTAACAGGAAAGCCAAAAATTCTGAGAGGGAGACTGAAGGCCGGGATGGAGAGGGGTGCTTCCTCCCCTGGGCTCCTCTCAGTCTCGCTCCCTGCCCCTCACTCAAAGGTGCTGAGTTTTCGTCCCAGGTCAATTGGCGTTCTTCCCCTGCATGGGCTTGTTCAGCACTGATGCACCACGCACAGAGGGAAAGGCAAGAAAATCAAAGGAGGCAGAGTGGGAGGATGGATCTGAGCACTTGGAAAGAGGAATGTTCCTATAAAACAGGGACACTTGGCAGTAGAGCCAGTGAAAAATGATACCAATTACATAAAGCAAAATGCCACCCATCAAGCAGAACATTTTAATTCTCTCTATTCCAGGCTATTTATGACTTTTTGTCCAAGACTCAATACATGTCTGTAAAAATAAAAAATGGAATCGACCCCATCTGTTACGTAGAAGGGGGCCTGTGCTGGGAAAAAAAAGGCAAGAAAACATTACCAGCATGTCGTTGGAGAATTCCAGAGGCCGAGCAGAGAGGCACTTCAACTTTGCACCTGCAGTATTTTTCCCTTTTTTAGTTATATGAGGAAGTGTGGGTGACCAATTTTGAGACATTTAAAATTATATTTAAACTAATTTTAGTTTAAGAAGCTTCTGTTTTGACTGATCACCCATACTATCTTGCTTGAAAACAAAACAAAACAACAAAACTGTTTTCCAGGGCACCTTCTCCTTTCAGTTCTGCCGGAGGTGGTCGAGGGCTCACAGCTGGTTTCCTGCAAGAGTGCCACAAGATGGCGACAATGTCACGGTGGAGAAAGGCCAGTTGCTCCAGCTAGACACCAACACGAGCATCCTCAACTTACTGCACATTAAAGGTTTGCGGAGGGTGGAGGTCTGTGGTGGTGTTGTTATGTATAATTCTATCACTTTTAGGGGGCAGGAGGGAGGGGATCTTTTTGGAAAAGTGCCAGCACGTGGTTGACAATTTATTCTCGGGCCAAATTGGGATTTTACCACGAAAGGAAGAAGTGGTCAGAGGGTTCAAAAGGAAAGCCCTTTCTTTTGACTCTTAAAGCACAGAGCTTGATTATTTTAATTTTTCAAATACAAGAAGGTTAACAGTGTTCTCAAAGAATACGCTTCTTTATGCAAAGCCCTTTGTAGTCAGGCTTGTCCAGGGCAGCCCCCACAATATAGCAAAATGCTTCAAAATCGGTTAATGTGCTGCTGCCTTTGAAATTCCCTGCCAAGAAAGCCATGTCTTCCTGCTTTTACCCTGTTGTGGTTTTGACTTCCTGGTCCCGTGGAAAGTCATATAAATAGGCTTCCTTATTGCAAAACCGGCCACATAGCTCTAGGGTCTGGGAAGTTGGAAAAGACGGAGAATTCAGATTCCAGCTCCTCCACCACGTCGCCAAGTGACTAAGTCAGTTTTTTCAGCTCTTTGTGCGTTTGTTTCCTTATCTGTTAAATGAGAATAAAAATCATTGCCTGCTTCAGTGGCAGATAATAAGGAATGGTTATCAAAGTGACACTGTTCATTGGCAAATGAAAATTGCTTGGGAAATGTGATTAGTTATGGATATCTATAAAACTGCACTAAAACACTATTCTTTACTGTAAATATATTTAACACTTACAGGAGCATTTCTTCTTGTTAGAGTAAGAGCATAGCTATATGAGCAAAAATAAAATATTTTGAAGGGGATAAACTGATACCATTTTGACACCTGTTTCTTACAGACGGGATCAGGTTTCTCTGATTAGGCATTTTATTTTCTATATTCTGGAAGCTGTTTTTTTTCTCTAGTAGCAAGGAGAAGTTTTTGGGAAAATCAGTTAATTAGTACCCTTTAGGAAAAATGGTCTGTGAGCTTGGGCTCTTGACCTGTCTTTGTGGTGTGTGTGTGTGTTTGTGTGCGTAGCCAGTGGCTATGGAGAGTGCTGATTTATTGACAGCCATCAACTTCCTAAGGACTGGCAATGACAAAGGAAAATTACAGACTTAAAACCTCGGCTCAGAGGAAAGATGCTCTTTGCAGGCCTTTAACCAGGACTCTCCCCACAGGAGTCAAATTCTGCTGGAGGATGGCATGCCCTTCAGGCTCTCAAGGGTCTTTGCCTTACATTGATACCATTTAGGAGAAGTTTCTCAGCTAAAGGTCCTCAGACTCAGCCCAGCTGAGTCTCTGGATGTCCTATGAGTTCCAGGTAAATGCTCAATCAAAGAATGGTGTTGGTATGGCCAGAGACTGAAGGTGAAGAGGCATCCGAGGGAGAGCAAAGAGTAAGAGAAAGGCAGGGACATGTGGAATATACACCTGGCTTCTCACTCTTGGAGATTTCAAGATCTAACCAACCTAAATACTGGCCCCAATCTGTCACCTTCCAATAGTGATTTTTATTCCTGGTTCAGGCAATATTTCATATTATTTAGAATAAGTGAGCTATGTTAGGAAGGGCAAATCCTCATCCTGTGGTGAGGGAGACTGAGTTATCTGAAGGATCCCCTCTTTCTCTTGGGGAATAGGACAATTGGTAGGAATGTGAGAGTAAGTAGTGGACACCAGTTTCTGTACAAATAGGATGTGGGAGTTGTTGACAGAAAGCAAGGTTGCCTAAAGTGAAACTCTGAGATTTTTATCATAGAGATGTGGGTCATAGCTTCTAGAAAGAATGAGAACAGGGAAAGGACACAGATCAAATTTGATTCAACAGATGACTTGTGAATACTTATTAAGTGGCCTAGGAACTCTTTGTGAGACACATGAAAAAGTGAAGAATAATACTTAATGTCAGTAAAGTTCATTATCACTAAAGAAGAAATCATTAGAGAACAAATGTAAAGAGTAAAATTTCTAGCTCTAAAATATGTGATGTAGGCAGCAGGGCAGAATGTAGACTGAAGTAATGAGAGTGTCGAGGACGTAAGATTAGAGTTGGATAGTGGAGAAGAGGTGAAAAGCATATCATTTGTGTCTGAGACATGTTTTGATCATGTAGATATCAATATACGCTGAATCAAGGTTTGAGGAACTTCCCCACCTCACTTAATGGAACTATGCATGTCCAAAGGCTCAGACCAAAATCACATCCCATGAACTGTGCCTCAGTGAATCTTGTTGGCTGGGTCTTCATGTGTCCCACATATCAACACCTCCGTTGATTCCAACCTAGTCCTAATCAGCATAATGTTTGCCTGAGACCTTTTCAAAAGGCCTCTTAACTGGTTCCCATGTTTCTAATTCTTTGTCTTCCTTAGTAGCAGAACCCCAGTTTTTATTTGGGGCAGCAATGTACCCAGATAAAATGTGACATTTCCTGACCTCCTTTGTAGCTAGACATAGCTTGTGGCTAAGGGCTGGCCAATGAGATGTAAGGGGAAGTGTGGTGCAGGACCTCTGGGAAATTCCCTAAAGTAGAGGTGACCTAGGAGGAGGCATGCCCTATTTGTCCGGCCTTCTTTCTCTTCGCTGCCTCCTGGAATGTGAATGTGATGGCTACATTTTCAGCTGCCATCTTGGACCATGAGGTGACTCATTAAAGATGGGAAAGTCAAAAAATAGAAGAAACCCAGGAGGCTGATGACTTTGGAGTTTCCATTCTAGCATGGCAACTTGGATCTCCGCCTCTGATTTGCTTTTTGTGATAGAAAAACAAACCTTCATGTGTTTGTCATTGGCATTTGACTTTTATGCTAGATGCTAAAATAAATCCCCAATAGTTTATTGTCCATGTCCTTTAAAAATATATCAGATCTTATTACTTCTTTCCTCAAAAACCCCCAGTGGCTTCTCATTTCACTAGGAATAAAACCTGAAGTCCTTATGATCGTCAAACCTCTGGTCCATTCATTGATCTTGTCTTCCTCATTCACTCTGCTCCAGCTCTTCTATGAATATACCAAGCACACATCTACCTCAGGGCCTTTGCACATAATGTCCTTTGCCTGGAACATTCTTTCTCCAAGTGTTCATGTGACTGGCTCACTTATCTCATTTACTCTTCTAGAAAATGTCAACTTCTCAGAGAGGTCTTGCTGGCCATCTTTTCTAAAATTATAACCACTCCCTATCCTATTACTCTCTATCCTTTTATTTTACCTTACTTTTCTTCATAGGACTTATCATCACATGACATATTATAATTTACTTGTTTGTATACAGTCTGTTTCCTCTGAGAGTGTAAGCTGAAAAAGGCTAAGGACTTCACTCATTTATTTACTACTGTCTCTTCACTGTCCAGGACAGTGCGTGACACATGATGAGGGCTCAAAGAATATGAGCTAATTATTGAATTAATGGACAAGTAAAAGGGTGCAGAGTTTAAGTCCTGAATGAAATTTTGGCAGTATAATTTTTAAACTTTGCTCTCTTAAATATCACTTTTCCCAACTAATTTACTTTCACCATCCTTAGCTGTGCTCACTGACATGTATATATATCCATATATATACATACACATATGTACAAATGTACACACATATACACATTAATATACGTATATTAACATACACATATATACATCCACACACCTATGTATAAATGTATATCATTATGATTTATAGGAATATAAAATCTATTGGTAAGTTATTTTTCCATTTCTAAAAGGCTTTTGAAGAAGGCCTTCACTGGTGAAGAAGTCCAACTCTCAAATATCTGGTTGATACAGCATAGCTCAAAACCTCTAATGTCTTCTCTTGGTCGATAATATGTGTGAAAGTACTCGAAGATAATAAAAAGGTATTCAAATATAAGATTGAATCATCACCATCATCACCATGAACAGCAATTCACTCTCTGAATGTCTGTTGTTCTCTATCTTTTTCATATCCATTCCTGGTATCAGACAAATAGCTAAGTGGAATTTTCTTTATTTTTCTGATACCATCTGCCAACTGAGATAAAGCATAAAAAATTTCAAGCCAAAAAGGAATATCTTCAAAAGATTTTAACAAAAAAAATATAAAGTATTATAGTGGAAGTACTTTCTCAGCCATTTCCACAATATTACAAAGAGTACATTCTACATGCAGTATGCACACACTTTGAAAGGATTAGTGCTAAATAAAAGTGCAACTAGATCACCTAAGAACTACGTTTGGAACTACTCTATGAAAATACTGCATCTTGTATATTATTTTTCCATTCATGGAAGGCAGCATCCTAATATATACAGGAGCAGGCTCCTACATCAGGAAAATCAACACTTCCACATGTGGCCCTCAAGAGTCTCTAACTCTGTGCCTTACTAATTTCCATCTATGAAATAGAATAGATATTTTTTCTTACCAGTACAACTTATGTAGTAGAAAGGAGGATTAGAAATTTCTTAGAGGCAATTGGGAAATGACACCAAAGACCGTGTTTTCACCATTATTTATGATGCTATGTGTACTGATTCCTGAACTTTATTGAAAAATAGCAGAGTTTTTGTGACCATGATAAGAACTTCAGCTATATTTATTATTATTTCACTTTAATTAGCAAAAGATGCAGAACTTCTGTCTACTTACTCTCTCTACTTCTTCTCTCCCTCCTTTTTTTTAAAAACAATTATTTTTTAGGGGGTACTGTTAAACACAAAAGAGAATTAACCCCATCAATTAATACTAATGAGCTTGGATGGAAATAGGCATATTGCCTTGATTTAGTTAATTATATTTTTTTGTTCTTTTATGTTAAGATGCCCAACGGCCATAGGCATCACTGAATTAAAATTTATTATTTTATTCCAAGTAATTATGATGAGCCATAATAACAAAGAAAGAATGTTGCCCTCTTGTCTGAGCCATTATGCGTCCTGGGCAAGGATCTTGGGCTTGTGGTCTGTAGCTGGGGAAGCATTCATATTTTCTGAATGAAGCAATGAATCT